TAAAACAAAAAATTTCCGGGGTCATAAGCTCCTTGACCACAATTGTGTTCCATCTGTCTGTGATATTCAAAAAAGTAAATGACTGGCTTGTATGGGACACCAATGCACTTAAAAAATAAAGACAATGATAAACCCATTAATTACCAATGTCCCATTTCTGGGATGCAGCTCATTTTAATCTCTGTAACCAAAGTGAATGTGTAACTGTGATTAAGCTGCTTAAGGAAGTAACTCGCATCTAGGAAAAGTACTTTTCTGAGACACATTTTTAGGTAAAATTATGAATAAATATTGGAGATTATAGCATTATCTAAATATGTTTTTCTCAGAATGATGATTTTTTTTAATGATTTCAACCATCTGTGTACATTTCATGTGCCGTCCCATTAATGGGACATACATATTTGGGGTCCTTGAAAAAATAATTAGTGTTACACGTTCATTGTACACTGTCATCCTATAATGAAATGTAAGTTTTACTTTGAAAATAAATTTGGATATTAATGGGTTAACCCCTCTGTGCAGATGTAGACGCCAGCGGACATGGAGCTGATCTATTTATGCAAGCAGTTACAGTATTTTATCACTAGATGACACACCCGAATCAGTTATTGAATATTCACTCACAAGCGGAGCTCAAACGCGGTTTAGAATATGGACAAGTGAAGTCCCATCCTTGTTTCCCAGGAATTGTATGAATTAAACTCCTCAGCCAAGCCTGAGGTGCAAACTGCCTAATATTCTTGCCCATAGTGTCTATCCAGCTGTTAATAAAAATGATCTCTTGTGACAGAAAAAAAAGCGTTGATCTTTGTTGCAACCAGTTCAGCTATTATGAGCCAATGTTATCCCAATTAGTAGTTTAGAAAAAATCAGTTTTCTGAAGCAAAAATTGGACATGGTATTGACACTGTATCATTCTACTATCAATTATAGTCATCATGTTTCAAAAATGCGTAGTTCCCTACAGTGAATTTAAGGGGTGATCTGGGGTTAAATGAAAAATGACACCAGGAAACAACTCAGAATTAATCTGAAGAGGTATATGTAATAGCCACCAAAAAAGATACAAGTACATTGCATTTCTAATGAAGTAAAGTACCTGCAGCCCAAATTGATTTTCAATGATAAATAAAAAAGTTATGGCTGCCACAAACATGAGAAATGTGGAAAAAGTAATACCTTAGGAAATCAATGGAAAATGCATTAGACCGCATTGAAAAGTTGAGTTCAGTTTTTAATCCTTGTAGCAATTAGTAATTATTAAAGGTGGGTTTTTATAGAATATTTTTATTCAAAAAAAAAATTTTGGAAAAATAATCAAATTTTGCCCATTTAACCCCAGATCACCCCTTAAGTGTAGATTCCTCCATCACTGAATTCAGCACTTTTTTTATATCCTCCCAAGTATTCATGTTCATAGTCATTCACTCAATTATTTACTTAGGCTCATCTGCGTAACGCACGCTGTCAGTTCACGCCCACGTGAAACTTCCCCAGTAATGATGTATTGATTGACACGTGTCTTTTCCAATTCCAGAAAGTATAAACTTTCCATAGTAACTGAAAGACATTGATTGGACATTCAGGGAAATATATAAACTGTTGCGTAACAGCAAGGTAGGTTGTTTTCTCGTAAAGTTGTGCATGGTTGCGCAGCTGAAAATGACGCAATTTCAAAGAAAAAAAGACTTCCAAAACCGGCCTGAAGTGTTCAGTTACATTTGCCGGATTTATATGAGGTACGGACATGGTCAATGGGAATTATTCTGAATGAAACAGGACTGGAGGGTTCCTTCTAGCGAATATATGTATGTCTCTGACAAATTCAATGAAGAAAGGTTTTTATTCATTTTATAAGGAAGTGCAATTTTATATATTTTTTAACTTATGGCGAGTTGGCTAGCTGTTTTTTTTTCTCGGTTTACCATAGCCATGATCACAAAGCTTGTTTTTCACTATGGTTAGTAAGAGTAACCATCAGTCTTTGCTAGAAATAGCTTCTGAATGTGGTGGCATTTTTATTTTTTCCTGATAGTGGAATGTCTGTTCTATTATAATGAGGTTTATTTCAAATATTACTGAGTTAGTGAGTTATACTTGTGCCTTATAAGGCGTAGAAAGTGTTTATATTAGGTTGCAAGTTCAGAAGTGGCAACTGCTAGCTTTTCATTGCGGGGTGAATGTTCTGACTGTAAAAGCTGAAGTCGGTAAGATTGCTCGACCTAGAGGACTTAGTCAGATTTTTGAACAAGTAAAGCTTTCAAGCCCCTCCCCTATTTGTGCTGAGATCCAAACCAGTCCTTCCCTCGATTTTTCGTGCACACCCGAAGGCGCGTGCTAATGATCTGATTGGTTAGATGAGCCGGGATCTTGATAAAATCGTTTTTACAAAATCGGCGGCGGCCATCTTGGATTTTGACGAAGCACGCCTGTTTTCAATAGCGAGCTGCCTTAGGTGAAGATACATCAGCATACCAAACTACAACTTCCTAGGACACTTCTTTTTCACGTTATCTTGATAACGTTGTTTTTACAAAAACGGCAGCGGCCATCTTGGATTTTGACGCAGCGCGCCCATTTAGCGACCTGCCTTGGGTCAAGATACATCATCATACCAAATTACAAATTCCTGGGCCAATTATTTTTTGAGTCGTCTCAATAAAGTCCTTACTTCGGACGGACTGCCGGATGGACGGAATGACGGACGGACAATGGACGACAAAATTTCACCTGCTCCATTTGATGAGTTTGGTGCTCTCCCAAGAGATTTTTGTCCTCCGAGCATTTTTCAGAGTTCGGATCCGGAAGTAAAAAAGCCATTCCTAGACCTGCTGCCTTCCGGCGACGCAGGTAAAATTGTGAGCTACGGGAATTCATAATTTTCAAAAGACATTGACAATTTATATGTCACCATTACAATGGAAAGAAAAATGCTTGACAACTATTTCAATGAACAATAAGTCCAGCTAAAGGGAAATGGACAGTCATGCTACTGATTGATCCTCACAACTGATCAAACTAACACCAATTTGCTAATTAGGAAATGTTCTGTAAATGGGGACAGGTAAACCTCTTAAGCCCTGAGCTTCTGGCTCAAAAATGACATGCCCAAAATGAAATGAGCATATCTCCGCAACTACTTGGTCCATTTTAATAGTCTTGGTATCAAAATAAAGGTAACACCTTGGGAATTTTTTTCATGTGTAAAAATCAGAAGATATGTCACTGAGTCAAAGTAAATGAAGATGGAACGCGGCATAAATGAAAGATCTCATTTCCAGTAAAAAAAATTTTTACTTTTATTCCTTTTGAAATTATTTAGTTGCAGGCTCAAACTCTAAAACAATTACAGCACAGAATGTCACCATTATCTGTGCCAAAGTTTATTCCAATCAAGTGCAACCCCAATTCCAAAAAAGTTGGAAAGCTGTGTAAAATGTAAATAAAAACAGAAAACAATGGTTTGCGGATCCCATAAACTGGCAATTTATTCACAGTTGATTTATTCACATAGTACATTCTACCTTTTATTTCTCTGATGCCAATTCCAGGTTTACTTCATTTTTGTTAATTGAGCAAATCGGCCAACAGAGGTTGTTGAACAGCATGTTGAAGTCCTGAGGATCTGCAGAAAAAAGAAGTCAATCACTGCTGCATGCAAAAAGATAGTAGTTGACCGCAACACTATCACCTTAAATGCGCCGATTGCCAAGCTTGCCATTCCTACCCCAGACAGTTTTGCTGAGCTAAGGGTGCAGCATACCATAAAGGAAAAAAATTTCACTGGTAAATGTTTGGATGCCATTTGTTCCAATACAGACATTGAAGACAAGGTCCATGCCCTGAAGAGTTGAGGGAAACTACTGCCTCTTGGGAAGAGCAGTGTTTACATGACTGGATGTTAGTTTAAAGTTGGTGTTTCAATTTATATTTGTCAGCCTTTTCAAAAGTTTTATGCGTTATTTAATGTGTTATTATTTTTACAATCTTTTTACTTTTTTGTATTATTATTTTTTATAACGTTCAGGTATTTAATATCTTATCGCAGTGATTGTTTACCGCTTTTCAAGGGCTGGATAAAAACCTCTCCAAAAGTGCTGTCTCATAGTGTGTTTTTAAGTCTCACCACGAAATCATTGTGTGTATGTGTGTGTACTGCCCTCATGCATCCTTTATTATAGTTATATTGTATTAAACATTTTACACTCATCTGAAGACACTATTCCCACTGTAGATCTAGTAGCTTCAAAATAACATTGTCAATGGAAATAACTGCATAATAAAGGATTGATCAATATTAAGAAGACACTGTTCCCACCTCAGATCCAGTATCTGCAAAGGAGCATTGTTAATGGTTGATAAGTGCATAATAAGGGATTTATTAATCTTAATAAGACACTGTTCCCACTTTAGATCTAGTGGCTGCAAAGGAGCATTGTTAATGGAAATAAGTGCATAATAATGGGGTTTTTTTTTTGCATTTATGAGGCATTAATTTTAACCTCTTATATTCTTATTACTGTAACTCAACATTCAACAGTGTTATTAACATTGATAAGTGGTCTATGAACTGTTAACAAGTTTCAAATAAATGTCCATAAATATCTTATAAGCCAATAACAAATGTATTTTATGATATTATTAACATTATTAAGTCTTATTTATGTAAATAAACATATTATTAGGGTTGGTTAGTGGTCTGTAAACTTAACCAAGTGCTCATAAATAGCTTGCAAGCCAAGAATTCTCTTCCTCACTAGGGTTGGGGGGGGGAGCTGGAGCCCAGCTGACTACGGAGAAAGGCAGGGACCCACCCTGGACAGCTCGCTAATACATCACAGGGCGCATACGCCATCCACACACCATTCACTCTCACACTCATACCTATGGGCAATTTAGTGTCTCCCAATTAGCCTGATGTGCATGTGTTTGGACTGTGGGAGGAAACCGGAGTGCCTGGAGGAAACCCACGCGAACATTGGAAGAACATGCAAGCTCCGCACAGAAAGGCCACATTTGAACCCATGACCTTCTTGCTGTTAGGCAGCAGTGCTAACCACTGCGCCACCGTGCCGCCAAAGCCAAGTGTATGTTTTTTAATGTATTATTAACAGTCATTAAATGTAATGTAACTTAACATCTTATGAAGATTAATAAGATATATATACAGAACTTGTTAACAAGTTTCTATAGTTCGTGCCTATAGGGATGCTAATTAGCAATAATATTTGTGTTAGTCCCACTCAATCAAGACCTGCCAGACATGGTAACAGTCATGAGCACAGCGGACAGGTCGGGCAACGACCGTTACCTGATAATTCCCTGTCATGGTTTAGGCGTGCGTTTGTTTGACCTTTCTTTGTTCTGTCGTCCAGGATGATTTCAAGTTTCTTTCCCATCGAATTCCTGATCCACCTGGCTGATTGAGCTGGGGCGGACTTTTCCGGACTCTATATATATGGCCAGGGGTTCGCCACGCCTATCGCTAGAGTGTCTGATTGTTTCTAGCACTTCGGCTGGAGAAAATCTCTAGTGTGATTTCCTAGTGATTTGTTATATTCTATTTATTGTTTGGAATTGCTTCTTTTCGAAATTTTCTCTCTTCTCGTTGTTTTTTCTCTCGCACTGCTTCTGTGTTGCGGATATTTATTCGTCTTTGGAAGCGCGAGCTTTTACCGGAGGTGTGTACCTCTTTTGTGTTTGTCTCTTAGCTGAGCTGCTCTTTGTTTTCTCTCACTGGTCGCGGCACCTGGCGTCCTATCACTGCCCATCACATTCCCATTGGATATCGTCCAATGTTCTAACTAGAAAAGTTTTGTAACAAAGTGGAATGTATTCACTGGACTGTGAGTGAATAACATATGGGCAAATCTACATGATACTTTCTAATTTTACAAACCCCAATTCCAATGACCTTGGGACATTGTGTAAAACGTGAATAAAAACAGAATAGAATGATTTGCAAAGCCTATTCGACCTGTATTCAATTGAGTACAATACAAAGACAAGATATTTTATGTTCAAACAGATAAACTTTTTTTTTTTGGAAATATTCACTCATTTTGAATTTGATGCTTGCAAAATGTTCCAAAAAAGCTGGGACAGGGGCATGTTTACCACTGCGTTACATCAGCTGTCCTTTTACCAACACTCAATAAGCATTTGGGAACTGAGGATGCTAATTGTAGAAGCTTTGTGGGTGGAATTCTTTCCCATCCTTGCTTGATGTACGACTTCAGTTGCCCAACAGTCCAGTGTCTTCGTTGTCGTATTTTGCGCTTCATAATGCGCCACACATTTTCAATGGGAGACAGGTCAGGACTGCAGGCAGGCCAGGCTATTACCCACACTCTTTAACTATAAAGCCACGCTGTTGTAACACATGCAGAATGTGAATTGGCATTGTCTTGGTGTAATCAGCAGGGACATCGCTGAAAAAGACGTCTCTTGGATGGCAGCACATGTTGCTCCAAAACCTGTATGTACCTTTCATCATTAATGGTGCCTTCACAGATGTGCAAATTACCCATACCATGGGCACTAACACATCCCCATACCATCACAGATGCTGGCTTTTGAATGGTACCGGGGCGATCGGGTTTAAGAGGGCAAAGGCCACCCTGACCGGGATCTGAAAACGTTAGCCAGTGATGGCAGTAGGTGACACCTTTATCTTGGGGCCGCTGTTGTTCCGTCTTGACAATGGGGCTCCGGTGTTCTGGAGAGCCCCAGTTCTATAGGCTCCTCCCCCTCCTTAGGCAGCTGGGTGGGGCCTCTGGGCCACCGTCTCTCCTGCATGAGCTGCTCCAGGCTGATGGCCGCGTCGATGTAGGAAGGCAGGGACAGATCTACGTCCCTGCAGGCCATCTCTGCCTGTAGCTCTGGACCCAGCCCATTCCAGAAGGTCGTCAGGAGGGCAGACTCGTTCCAGCTGCTGGCTGCAGCCAAGGAATGGAACTGGAGGGTGTAGTCAGCCGTGGTCTTTGTACCCTGGCGCAAGTCCAGCAGGTGGTCCCCAGCCTTCTTCTCAGGGTGGTCGAAGACTGAGCAAAACTGCTGGAGGAAGTTGGCTTAGGTGGGAAAAGCTGTGTCTCCCCAGACAGCTGTCACCCAGTCAAGCGCCTGGCCAGAGAAAGAGGTCACCACTGCGGCAGTCTCCTCGGCGTCACTCAGGGAAGGATGGTACGTGAAATAAAGTACACATTGGAGAAGGAAGTCTTTGCACCCAGTGGGGTTTCCGTCATAGCGCTCTGGCAGGCGCACTGGCGATTCACCCCGGGGAATTGCCAAGGGAACCTGCATTCTGGCAGGAGAGACAAGGGTGGTGGTGGCAGTGGAGCGTGGGAGATGGAGAGTTTGCGGACCCCGTGAAGCAGTTTGTCCAGGGCAGTCCCCAGACACGCAATCTCCCTCTGCTGTTCTGCCACAAGGTGGTGGAGGTTAGGAGGCTGGGCAGTAAACTCTCCCACTGCTTGGGGCAGGAGGAACCCTCGCTGAGTCCATGGTGTGGAGAAGTCTTTTGTAATGGTTGTGCTCTGAGCACCGGTGATGCGCACAGAGGACAGGAAGTTGAGGACTGGACTCAGGTGCGAAGATGGATTTGGTTGTATTTATTATGCCTTCAGCACAGCAAGAAGGCAAAACAGGATACAATACAAAAGAACAAGGAATCAAGGTTCATGGATAATACTATTTGGAATACAAACACTGGGTTTTAGCAACAGTAATAATGTATTACTAAAATAGGAAAAGAAAAAGGAAGCAAGGTTCCTGATAATAAAGTTGGACACACTTAAGATGAAGTGTTTCTCATAAAGGCTTTATACAGCATGTATAATGCCTTCATAATTGAGACATAATGTCTTCATAAATCATCCATAAGCAAATGTCTTGCCTTGAAAAGGGCAAAGGAACACATCCTTATTCAGCACGTGATACCAGACGTGACAAAGACAATGTCACTCAGCTGACAATGCCACCCCTTATAGCATTTAGCCACAGCTAAGTGACATTGTCAGTTATATCACATCTGACATCGCATGCTGAATAAGAATGTTATTTCACCCTTTACAAAGCATGACATTTGGATTTGTTAGTTGAACACAACATTCTCTTCCTCCGCTCAAAAACACTAGAAGCGTAGAAGTGCTATGCTACAATGCAGAGCAATGTCCTGCCCTCACGCCCTGCATGCTGTTATTGGCTGGGGGCTGCACATCCACTACCCAAAGTATGATGCCCAGAAACTTCCCGTATGAAGAAAAATAAGGAAATACAGGTAGACAATGGTCTCTATAGATAAAAACACTGCCATGCACTTCAAGTATGTCATAACTGCTGACTGAGAGGGGTTATTTCTGTATGAGTATACATCGTTTTTTTTTTTATTTTGGAAATCTAACTTAGTATACTATTAAAGCACTTCTCATAAAGTAAATGTTTTTAATATTGAAAAAATACCAGCTAACTAATATCCATTATTTTACCAACTTAATCCTGATTAGGTTTAGGGAGGCTGCTGGAGCCTCTCCCACTAAGCACTGGGGAAGAGGCCAGAATAAACTGTGGATGGGTCACTATGCCTTTGCATTCATATTTCGTAATGTTTTTTTAGAAAGGGAGTATGGTCCCTGACCTCATAGTGGCACAAAATAGCACAAACACAGAAATTCTCAACAGCGGCCAGTTTTGTAGACAGCAGGGGTTATTGATGGGAGAGACTACCTAATAAATGTCTGAGACATAAATTAATAGTTGGGTCTCACCTGGAGTCCGAGGATTCAGGGTACTCTCAGCTTGTCAGTTATGATCCTGGTGAGCTTATATGAGAACATTCAAAGCACATTTTAAAACCAACAGCTTGCACTCCGGGTGTCTCTGAAAGCAACTGGGGAATTTTGAGTGCAGTCTATAATGCTGTGAAATGCTGTCTCGAGACATGCTAAGTGCACCCTAGCTGTCTCTGCAAAGTTTGAAAAATTCAATCGAACTGCTTGATCTTCAAAAAAGTGCATGTTTGAGGATCTCAGCAAATAAGCTAAAATGAAGATTCTTTACCTCCACTGTGCATAAGGAAAACAACCCTAAAATAAAGTATTCAATTTAACTGTAATACTTATTAAAATGTAAAGTATTGTTCACCACTTTGTTCTCATTTCCCACCTTGGTCTGTATAAAATATTGTGAAAATCATGCAACGCTGAAAGGTCAGAAGTGATGTGATCTGACACCACCACAGCTCGACTGAAGCGAGATATGGCGTTTTTTTAAAGTGCAAAACTAAGGGGCGTGAGTCTCTTAAATGCAGGTAAAAAAATGGTTCGCAAAAATGGTGCGGAACGAGAGTTGATGCACTTTTACATGTTTCTGAATTGAATATGTTAATTTAAGGACCCATCTCAATTTATTATTCTTACACGACTAGAAGGTAATTTTTCTCATATTGAACATTTATCCATTACCAAATCAAGTCCATATCCATTTTGAAATTAATTTTTAAAAGTTTTGAATCCTTTACAAGGTTCTACAGTTATTATATAGTTATTATAATCAATCCTGTGAATTGAATTTTTTTCTGACAATAAATGTAGATACTTTTGAACGATACTTTTGATGAGTATTACGGTTTAATCAGGAGAGACCAATGAATTACAAAAAGTAATCATTCATAACAGATTACAGTGTCTACAGATTAACTGATGTGATGATAGCCTGTACGAAGTCTTTGGTGCTTGGACTCAACAGGGAGATTATGTAATCAAGGCTCATCTGGCCTCAGCTGCAGCAAGATAAATCCTCCAACAGATTCCAGATACTGGTGGTGGTAGTGGCTGATGACACTGCTGACTGATAGGCTGATGAGGATGATGAATGATGAATCTGCAAAAGACTGGGCGGTGATGGGGAGGCAGAGGGCGTGCATAACAGTGGCATGAATGTACTTAAGGTAGAGAGAAAAAAAATTCACTGAATCAGATCTTTAAATGGTCCAGTCGGCTGATCGTGGAGCCACAGCTGTGCCCAGAGTCGCTGTCTACCAGACAGTTGCAGCGGATAGCCAGGTCCATTTGTAAT